GCGGAAAGCAGTGGGGCAGTAACCTGCTGCCATCCAAGTGATATTGCCTAGCTGGTGATGAAACTGAGTACATGGTGATCACCCAAAAGGGCATTCTTGGCTTTTTACTAATTATTTAGATAAGATGTAACCATAAAACTTTGTCAACAAGAATGAAGTAGAAAAAGGAATGAGTAGCATCTTCCCCATTCTTTCTGGTTGGGTTCAAAGCACAGGCATAGATCAACATGTTCTGGAGAGGAATATATTGCTATGGAAACAATGCCAACACAGAGAGTATTTAAGAATAACATCATATGGCTGGCAAAGAAAAGGCTACCTAAATGAGCCCCCTGACAAAGATAAGAAAGAGCATCTTAAGACATCAGCTTGTCAGCTAAGAGGGGATACTTTAAACTAGGTTTCAAAGGACAGCAACAAAAAACCTACAGAGAAATAGGAGTTGTGGCTGACTGGAAAAAAAGGAAGTTGGGAAGAAAAGGGCTGGGAGCAGTTAAAGGATGTAAGAAGGAAACCAAGCTGAACCATAGATTCTAGACAGACTGAATAAGTAAAAAGACCAAACTATAACTTAACTGGCATTATAATAAATTAGCAAAAATCTCAGAATTGTAATACAAGTGTTATAAATTTACTGTGAAACATTTGAAGTCCATTTTCCCAACTCTTGTTTTGTATGGTAAGTTGCCTCTTAGGAATATGGAAAACGTGTTTTTTTGTTTTTTCTTCTTTTTTTTTCTGTACCTTATCCTTGATTCTAACCTATTCCACAGAGTGTGGGTTCAAAATGAATGTGGGAATTACTAACTGGGATGGCTATAAGGGATTGTTCCCCCCTTAGTGGTATGTCCCACTTGCTCTTAGGTTCTTCTTCTCTTCCCTACTGCTCCTCTTCTTGAGCTGACTCAGCTACTGAAGTGATACAGGCTAGAAACTGCACCTGAAAAGGTTGTAATCAATGACAGGTCAGATGACTGCACTCTGAAGGGTACTGTGACACTGATGTAGAAGACATTCTTACAGCTTGTTCAGGAAGATGAGTCATTTAAAAAAAGGGAGAAAGTGTTTCATGATATGATTGAAAACTAACTGTGTGAAGATGTATGAAAAGAAAAAGAGGGCTGAAATTACAGTAGACACGTACCACAGGCTGCCAAGCTGAAGCAGCAGAAAGGCGAAGTTTGTTTGAACTAAGACAATGAAAAGAAGATGGAGAGGCTAACACAGTAAAATAAAATAGCAAAAAAATACCTCTCCCCACCCCCAAATACATTAGAAATAAACAGCAAAGAAAAGCAAAGGTCCAATGTAGGAAGAAACCAAACACAGACAAAGAAGAATGTTTGCAATATTCAGGGCTTCAGTCTTTGTAGGAAGGTTAATTACATCACAACTGTTCATAAAATGCATTTAAAACAAAAGAAACAGAGAACCAAGATCAGCAAAGGGTAAGAAGGAATTAAAAGCTAGATGTTATACATATTCAGATCTGACAGAATTTACCCAACAGTCATTATGGAATTAGATAAAACTATTTCTGACCTTCAGCGTGACAAGTCTTCATAAACCCATAAAGGATGGGCCAGATTCCACAGTGTTAGAGAAAAGCAATTAGATACCAAACAGAGGCAAAGAAGGACCTATAGAATGTCAGAAGGAGGTATTAACACTCTGACATTACTAGCTACTTCTGATGTAAGCACTTCTGATGTTGCATTAAACTAAATCAGGCTAACATCTCCATCCCATCCAGTGCACAGCCTCAAACTCAACCTTGTCTCAGCTTAAGATGGTGACAAACTTGGGACCATATGAACAGGCCTTCCCGAGAAGATTGTATAGCTTGCAGTCTTGGTGAAGACTCCTCTTCAGGGTCTTTATTTATTGGGAGGAAGAGTAGCCTCTTCACCTAAAACTACCAGTCAGATGACAGGTAAACGTGACAGAAAGACATGGCCAGTGCTGTTGTAGGAAGTACGTTATTTTCAAAAAAATGGGTTTGGGGGTTTTACCTTTTTAAGACAAATCTTAGCGAAAAGCCCAAGTGGCTTATAATGACACTGGCCCCTCCAAGTATCTCAAGTTTTGCTGCCAGGACTTCCTTGCCTGGTACTGCTTCACAACCATGAATTCTTTGTCAAGACTGTGTTTTTTTCAAAAAGACTGTGTCTGTTTTGTATTACATAGCCTTGTCAGCTATTTCAGCAAGCTGCGCTCTCTAACCTAGTTCAGGCTCATTCCTTGGACTCTCTCAATACATCACAGTCACCATAATGTCTCTGCATGACATCCACCTTGGCTAGCTCCCCTGCTGCAATACAGCCTGAAATATTCCTAAAGTGGAGTTTCAAAACTGCAAAATGAAATGCTTCAGCCAGCACATTTTAAAGACAACATTTGTCCTTGTTTGGGCTTACTGTTGGAGACAGTAGTAAGGATTCAAAGGCTGCAGAAAAATCACCAAAAGTAGTTCTGGTCTTTATTCTATGAAACACACAAGCCCATTTGCCAGCTCACTCTTAATTGCTGGACTTGTCTGGAGGTAAAAGGCTTTGCAAAGCAAAATAACTATTTAACTTGCAAGTCAACGCTCAGATTGCAGCAAAAGGAAATGAAAAAATAGACTTTATTGCTGTAACTAAAGTAATGACTCCATTAGCCCCAACTACAGCTGCAGCTTGATTTCACAAAATCCTTCTGTAAAAACAGAATTCCGATATTGAAAACAGTGATAACTGCAAACTATTTCACACCATAATAAGAATGCATATCTCTTTCTTTTCTAATTTAATTACTCTGTAAACAAAACCAGCACTTGCTTTGGGCTAAGTCCTCCACTCTTTCCTGAGCTTGAGGAGAGTCAAAGTCTATTTGCAGAGGAGATGAGATTGCTCACCAGCCAACAGACTCCACACACCCATGAGAATGGTAGTGGAGAGAAGGCCTAGTCAGAACAGGCCTTCATAAATCAAAGTGGTGCATTAGAACTGCAGAGCACAAAACACCATAAAATCAGAAACAAATGCCCTTTAAAAAAAAAAAAAGTACAGTCCAATTTGTAGCAGCCAGGAGCTATTATTATAATAGACAGTTTTATGAAAACATCAGCTGCATGCTCAATCACAACCCTCTTTCCTTCCTCAAAGCCACAAACAACACGATATATGCTTGGGAAATGAACATCATTATGACACTGCATGCCCACATACAATATTCAAGATGTCTCTCATAAACCCAAAGGGACTGTAGGAAAATGGAAAAGATACAGAGAAGTGCAACAATGAGGCATAATGAAGAACCACCAAATAGACAGCATCCTCAACCTCAAATCACCAAATCACTGAGATTGCAAAGGACCTCATGAGAGCAACAAGTGCAAGCCCCATGTCCAAACAAGGTCAACTTCAGCTTGTAACCCAGGACTGTGTTTTGACTCTCTCCACAGATGAAGAGTCTACAACCTCTCAGGGCATCTTGTTCTAGTATTTGACCACCCTGACAGTAAAAAAGTGGTTTTTTTTGTTTTCAGAGGGAATTTCCTGATTTTTAATTCATGCCCATTGCCTCTTGTCCTGTTGGTGGGCATTACTGAGAAGAATCTGACTCCCTCTTATTCGTTCCCATCAAGTATTTATATACATCACTAAGTTCCCCCCTGAGCTTTGTCTTCCAGACTTAACAGTTCAAGTTCTCTCAGCCTCTCCTTGTATGAAGGATGTGGCATTCCCTTAAGAGTCTTTGTGACTCTACACTGGAGTTGCTCAACTAAATCCATATCTTTCCTGTGCTGGGGAGCCCTGCACTGGACCCAGCACTCCAGATGCGGTCTCAGTAGTGCTGAGTAGAAGGGAAGGATCATCTCCCTTGACTGGATGGCAACACTCATCCTAATACAGCCCGGGTTGCCGTTGTCCTTTTTTGCCAGAAGTGTGCACTCCAGCACAGGATTAATTAAAGACATTATGTGAGGTAAGTAGATCAGGAGACAAATCAGGAATGGTTTGGATGAGACTAAGGACAAAGGGTTAAAAGGCCTGTGTTACCAATTCCCAGGACATAGCTGCCAGTAGTAAACTGAGGAATTTATTTATGTAAAGACTATAAGGCTTGCACTCTAACACCTCACAGTACACGACTTGCCAGCAGAAGACCCTGCATCCTAACACAGGGAGACTGTCAACAAGGCTACTATGTATCACATAACATTGATTTTTAAATTAGCCCAACAGCAAAATCAGACTCCAAATGTGTATTTCAAACAAACAAACAAAAAAAACCCCCACTGGTCAACAACTCCTGGAAGTTGGTTGGCAAGAGCTTACTCGAAGGACTATCTATTCAGAACTGACAACGCCTAAAAGTTAAGCAAGGTCTGCCCAAAGTACTGGGTTTCCATCACTGGGCAAGAAGAACCAGAGCGGTTCATGTGGGCTCAACAGCTGGCATTTCTTGTCCTTTGCATCTTACAGAAACAACACTGCCAGGCTTCCTCCACTCATCCACTATGGTGCTTGTGAGTATGAGAGTGTGAATTAATGACCTCTGGGAAAGAGAATGTGAATGCACATGAAAAACTTGCTTGAAGATTTTGTAAATATGTATCACTTTCCCTTTTCACAGTATTGCACAGTATTGCACACTGAGTTTTATTTTGCTAATTTCCCCAGATGTATACTATTATACGACAGATAGTGTGTCAATGCATTGCAGATCCTTGCAAGAAGAAAAATGTTCAGCACGCTCAGACTTTTTTAGTGCTCTGGGCTTATTTTCCAGTTGTGTGAAATACTGACACACAACCTGCAAATTTATTCCAAGGAAAAATCTGTAAACAGGGGGTTTCTGTATATTTGCGCAACAGCTAGGGAAATGAGCTTAAAAAAAATCAGAATTTTGCAGTCTAGCAAAAAATGATTTCACTTTAAAATGCCTACTAAGTTACCATATATTACTCTATTGGACCGTTTACCTTAAAAAATGAAACAACAGTAATTTCTTACCAGTCTTTTTTGCTGAAGCTGTTCTCTAAGTAGCCTGTCTTCTGGTAAAACATCACATAAAAGAAAATAATTGTCCTGTTCTTCTGTTAAGAGATTAGAAAGTGTAAGTAAGGAATGGGAAGTTGCAGCTGCTTTGAATATTTCTGATACATAATTTGCTAAACCTCTGGAGGGGTTTGCTAAACCTCTGGAATGTGTTAAGCATGTAAGACTATGATTTTTAATCTAGAAAAGTCAGTTATTTTAATTTCATAATTTAATGAAACATGCTTAAATATTTCTATATACATATTTATATTGCAGTATAAAGATAAAAGTCTTGTATAGCTTTTCTCCACTAACAGCTTTATTAATTTTTATGATGGTTCTTCTGGAGATATAAAACAATTATCATTTATATTGATTACAGATTAAAGTCAGCATGAAAGAAACACCTCTTGAAATGACCTTTAATTTTATCTTGCATGTGAGATTTTCAGTTATTTCCCTAAGTAATTGCCAGTTTTCAGTAGCTATCATTATTTTGTTTATCCTCCCCTTGCTCTGACCTATTACATTGCTTTTTACCATCGGATCTTTCTACATCTGCAGATATGCACTACAACTGTTTAGTAACGTGCATTGTGACTTGCCTAATTTACATTTCTACTTATATGTTTTATACATATTTTATGTTTACTAATCTTTTTACTATTTATGGTCATATCCAATTTAATAAGACAACAAGTCTGATTCAAATGAATTACATTAAAGTGACTCAGCATGTAAGAAAATACAAAAAAGTACAAAACCAATTTGCATTTGAAAGTTACTCATTTATTAATCAAAGGGTGTCCTAGTCACACTAAAAGAAAACCATGCCACCACTCTCTTCTTTCCCCTTCCAGCTGGAGGCACAAAAGGCAAAGATCATGGGTTGAGATAAGAACAACCTACTGGAAACAGCAACTAGATAAGAAAACCAACAGTAACAACAACAATATTAGTAGCAAAAGGTATAAGACAAAGAAACAATTTTAGATGGAAAGCCCTCGACACAGTACCAAACGGCTCTTCCCACTACACCACACTTTCCCCTGACCAGAAAGGAACGCCCTTCTTCTTAGAAGTGAGAGAGCGAGTCCCTTTTTCCCAGTCCCTGGCAATGACATAAGGTGGTATTGAATAACATAATGTCTTGGACATGCCCCTTCCCACTGATCTGGGCCAGAACCAGGACAAAGAGTTAAGTGGTTGGTGAACTGAAGCCTCCATTATTTAGTCTTTTACAATTTTAAGCTTGACAGAATTTTATCCTTTCCCATCTTTTCATACAGAAAGCCTGTTTGAAGTAAGACAAACACCCTGATTTCTAAGCTATCAAATTTGAAGGAGGTGTCCACTAAAATTAACAAATCTGTTAACAAACAAATAACAAAGTATTCTCATTGTTCTCTGGAAGGGTCACGGATATTTTATAGTTCTGGTGTTCAGGTGCTTGATTTGCAATTTTCAAACTGAGTGGTAAGTATTAAAATTTCAGAAGCAAAAACATACATACTTAAGAGAAACAGAATTATGATTTTTTGAGTGATTTTCATGTTTTGTAGGACTACTTCTCTTAAAATTATTTTGACTAATTAAAAAAAAATTACTTTCAGCCATTTTGTACTCAGTTTTCACCTCCCACGCATCTTGGACACCAGTTGCATGCCTTGCTTCCTCTCTTTTAAGGTCACCATGGAGAATGAAAGAAGCAGAAAAGCCCTAATATTCTTGTTTGCTTTTAGGTAAATTATATTAATCTGTTAGAAAAGGGAAGACAAAGTAATGCATCAACTACTTCTGAGAGAAACACTTCCTTCATACAGTCAACACTATCTTCATGATGGAATGTTCCACCATGCCAACAGAGCAGAATGATGAAGTATGGTCTTTGGTCTTGTATTGGAGCCCAGAGAATTGCAGTTTTTGTACCCCTTCCATGAAGGGGTCTCCTAATGTCTCCTAATACCCTCAGGGCAGTAAGCACCATGGCAGGGGAAGAGAAGGGTGACTGTGGCCCTGATGTCCAGGAAGAGTTAGCAGCATCAGTGGGGATGGTGGACAGGGCAAAGTCAGAAAAGGCACTGGGAATGTTTCTCATAATTTCTGGAAGGACTGTCACCAATTATTTATGCAGTGGCTACTGACACTTCCCCAGTCATGATGTAAGTGGCACTACTTCTATGCCTTGACATGCAGTGGGCCCCAAGGCACAGTGCTCTTAGGCATGTATTGAGCTCATTCTCACTTAGCATAGTGCTGAAGCACATGCTATAATCCTTGGTAAAGGTAAGTTTAGATACGTGGTTAAGAGTTAAACATTACTTCTGTGGTTTTCTGACCTAGTGTCAGACACACTTGGCTCATCAAAGCAGCAGTATATGCCAGAAATTATCACACGATCTGGCCATCAGAAAGCAAGCAAGCAGCACACTTACCTAATGGTGCTTTTGAATTTGTTCTTATCACACTACAAAAGTCTGTGACAGGCTGTTCTGCAAACCTTCTCTTCCAGTACAAGATGTAGCTTTAAAAATAAGAGGGAGATGATCAGTGAAAAAGGAAACACCAAAATGTTCAATAAACAGTTGATGAGCTCTTGTTTTTTCCATTCTCTAAATTCCTAAGTGTTTTGTGATTATTTTTTTAACTCTTGTCTCTGTTTTTGCTTCCTTTATATTAGTTTTCAATTTAATGAAATTAATTCGGTTTCCCTTAAACCACGCTGTCAGAGTGAAGAACTCAATAAGCAGATTTGCACCAAGCTTTGCATAAACACTGTGACCTAGTCACATCTTTAGACACAAGTGCAACTCAGATGCATCTTTACTGAAAAGCTATACTACAGAGTACTGTCAAAGTCCCAAAATATTGTGCTCTGCGTTATGCAAGATACAGTCAGGAATCTGAAACTCAGTAAAAACACCAACTTGACAAAAGTGAGGTTTTGGCAGGTCTCCTGTGGAGTTACACTGAAAGCTGTAGCTTGGCAGACAACTAGAAAGACAGAAAAATGAAGTCCCTGAACACCTGGGGTGGGATGGCAGACAGAATAAGAAAAGCCCTAAACACATCTTGAAGGTTTAACCCATCAACTACAGTTGTTTAAAAACATTCTGTACTACCATTGTTTGTATAACAGCTGCACCAACAGACCCCAACTGAGATTAGATTTCCACTGAACTAGGAAGCTACTGTATAACCAAGAAGAAATCATCGCTTCATTTACATGAGATGAAGGGAACGAAGCAATTCTTGTGCTAATTATTTGGAATTTTACTATTAAAAATAATCTGAAAATGCTTAAGTACTTGCTTATATTTATACTTATGACTCATATATGATACAAATCACGGGAGAGCTGGTAAGGTAAAGGCTAATTATTCTATGATAGCTTCTTATTATGTGCCATCAAATTACAAAAAGAATAATTCAAAAATCAGATATTATTACTATGAGGGCATTTCTAAATAGTTGCAGCTTCTAATACTTGTACAATCTGTAAGTTCACTTGCCACAGCTATCACATTCCATGACGGCTCACATTACCTCTATTTATCATCTATTTTAATATACAAGGACTTCAACTGCAGCAGCCAAGGCATCAGCACATACTTGTTTCTGCTAATTGTGCCACTGAGAGGACTAACCTCTGGTACAGCAGACAGCTAAGCACACTGAATCCAGAATGCGTGGCTGAAGCTCATTCAGCAGCATCATTAAATGTCAGTAACTGAGAGGTGAGTGTTTTGTTGTTCCCCTGCCCACTCCACTGTTTATAATGCACATTGAAACAGTCTTGCTGCTACACAGAACAGTAAGTCTTCCAGAATAAGTCATCCTCAAGCTTTTAGGACTTAAATGTGCAAATGAAGAGATTTCAAGAGCTCATTTACTAAATGTCTGTCCCCTGCACTGAGAGAAATGAACACTGGTACAAACTCACTTAACCATAACTGCCTGTGCCAAGAAAATTACTGTTAAGGGATTTCACATCATAAGACTTAAACCAAATAATCAATGACCAAATAAAACCAATGCCTTGTCATACTTCCAGGGAGACAGAATGAGTGATCATGTTTAGTCATGCAGCAGAAGCTTATTCCGCTTATCTCTTCCCCTTGCCCTTGTGCCAACTTCTCTTTATTCTTCAAAGTCAAAAAAAAAAAAAAGAAAGAAGTTTTCCATTAGTACTGGTCTTTTCTGGATCATCCACTTCTTGCAGTTGTGTCAAGAAATGTGTTCCTAAGACTGGTTGTAACTCATTGCTAGGTATAAAAATAATATTATGTTTTATGAGTTGATTCCCTGTATTTTCCACACCTCAGTTCAACACTTCAGAATATACTCGATTTTTTGTGCATAGTATTAGACCATTTTACTGATACAGCAAATTAGAGAAAGCACAGTTCAGAGTAACAACACATCCTGGGGCCCCTTACTATAAAATCTGGCTACCTTCCAATTGCGTTAGCAGAAAAAGAATCTAAATGGGCATTTTCTTGAAAAGATGATTTTAAAATACATTTCTATTAATGCAAAATAATTCCCTCAAGCACACTTAGACTGGCTGTGCATGACTGAGCTGCTCTGATTCCTTTATTTACCTGAAGATATTAGTATTATCTCCAAAGAACAGTACATTCTTCTTCTGTCTGCTTTCAGCACAAAAGCGAACAAAAACAACTATCAGTTTTCAATTTTAAGCAATGTTAAGCTCAAACATGTGATTACAGATTTATATGGCTTACATTTCTCTTCCTAAATTACATTGTATTGTTTCTTTTTTCTGCGCCTTGATAGACACAAGTTACTGGCTTTGACTGAGTAACTAATAACAGACAACCTACTAGAAAACTCATTTTAGTTGAGAAATTATCCAGCTAGCATTTAAACACTGCAACAGAACTAGCTACAGACTGGCAGGTACTGTCTAGCCTTCCTTACTGTGGGTGAAAGCAAAATGTCAAGCAAGTGTCTGATCTCTGAAGTTACAAGCCAGCTGGGGCCATGCCAGCTACTGGAGGAAGTTAAGAGAGAGAAAGCCAAATGTGACCCTGCTGAGATGATCAATGACACAGCTGTAGAAGGAGTCACAGTTGTAAGTAGATCACAGTACTGTAAAGTTAAGGATTAAATGTGATTTCAATGGCAAAATACTGGCAACCTTAAAATAGCACAAATTAATTTCATCCCAGAATGTGAAAGATCCTGTACTGAGCAGCTTCTGTGTACAACACACAGCTTTAAGACATTAAACAGTGGTAGATATAGTCTTGTCCTGTACAAATAAAACTCCAAATTAGGAGAACTGATTGTCTGGATTGCGCTTTACTAAAAAGACAGTTTTCTAGTTTGCACACTTGTTGATTAGTGATAGGACCTGAGAAGTCTGCAGGATACATCAAAGAATGTCTAACAAAGGAATTGCCACACATTCTAAAATTGAGTCTTCTAGTTCCAGAAACATCTAAGGGCTGGGGACTGGGAAGGTAATGGGAAAACAACCTTACAGCCCAGCAGTCAAGAGCTTATAAAAAAAGGTAACAGATATCTTCTCACAATGTCTTTTAAAAAAGATGATCTCTACTTTTCCAAAGCTTTCCATAACATCTGCACACGTACACGCTCATTTTAAATGATATAACACTTACCTTCTAAAATCTGCAACCAGTTTCACGTCTGCTATGACGAGCTTGTGTTCAATAATCATGTGCTTCAGGAGCTGGTTTTGTTCTGCTAAAAGATAGCACTCTTCGCAGAAAATGCAAGGCACGCAGGGAGAACTTTCTACAGCATCAACACCACCTGGACTTTCTGGCAGAGACAGAGGCTCCAAAATACACTCAGTATCTAAAATAAATGAAAGGAATAATTAGTTTTGACTAAGTGAATAAAGCTACATCACTTGAAGTACTTTTAGGCAGTACTTGTTTTGAGTCTCAATTCTGTTGCATGGATCACTCCACCAAAGAGACGCTTGGAAGCCACTTGGCAGGTTGACTGCATTGTTTCCAGGAAGGACAGTGGGAGGCTAGCACAGGACAGTTCTCAAGTATCTGCCCCAACTGAAACTCCCAGCTGACACCAAGTCACAAGTACTCTGCTTACTATTAAAGGAAGTTTCTTCCTCTCCCTACCTAGTTTACCTGTTGATATGACTCAAGCTACTCCCTCTGCGACATTGCTCAGACTATCAGGAAGGCTTTAGACTATATAGCACAAACTGTTTTGCATGTTAATTTTCCTAATTATACTTTTATTTACTGCACAATGCTTCTATAATTTTCTGACTGACTCTTGAATGTCTTTATGTGTTTGTCTTGCCTTTTTTCCCCCCTATTTGCATCTCACTTCCTGTTCTATGAGAAAAGACTATTCTTGATAAAGATTACTACCACACAGAAGCTTAGGCCATTGAAACACTTTCTAACTGTACAGATGTTGAGAAGGGGTCAGCCACACCCCATGTGGAAAGTTCAATGGCCCATGTTTGTACTATACTGTACCAGTCCGACATAGGTTGCTCAATTGACAGCACACAGAGATGAGTCACCGCTGTATGTTCTCCAAGTTTGCTGTTGTTGTAGTTCAGGCATAGCACATGACTGTGAGAATGATCAACTCCCAGTCGACCTTGAAATTGTGCGGGATCTGCTGTTCTAGCTGAATCCCTACAAATCTATGGGGCCTGAAGGGATTCATCCCAGAATCCTCAAAGAGCTGGCTGATGTCATCACAAAACCTCTCTCAATGATTTTTGAGCAGTCCTGGGAATCCCAAGAGGTCCCAGCTGACTGGAAGCTGGTGAACGTTGTCCTGATTTTCAAGAAGGGCAAGAAGGACCCTGGAAACCACAGGCCTGTCAGTCTCACTTCAGTGCATGTAAAGTTATAGAGAAGATTATCCTGGGAAGTACTGAAAAACAGCTGAAAGACAATGCAGTCATTGGTCACAGCCAAAACAGCTTCCTGAGAGGAAAACTCAGCTTATCAAACCTGATTTCATTTTATGACAACACAACCCACCTAGTTGATCAAGGAAAGCCAGCTGATGTAATCTTTTTGGATTTCAGTAAAGCTTTCGATACTGTTTCTCACAGGATCATTCTGGACAAAATGTCCATCACACAGCTGGATAAACACAACACGTGATGGGTGAGGAATTGGCTCATGGGTCGAGCACAGAGGGTAATAGAGAATGGGGGAACATCAGACTGGTGACCTGTCACTGGTGAGGTTCCACAGGGCTCCATCTTGGGCCCTGTGCTCTTCAACATCTTCATAAATGACTTGGATGCAGGACCGGAAGGGATACTGAGCAAGTTTGCAAATGCCACAAAACTGGGAGGAGCTGTTGACTCCCTCAAAGGCAGGGAGGTCCTGCAGAGAGACCTCAACAAATCAGAGGACTGGGCAATCACCAACCATATGAAATTCAACAAGGGAAAGTGCAGGATTCTGCACATGGGATGGGGCAACCCCGCATGTTCATACAGACTGGGGAATGAGATGCTGGAAAGCAGTGCCATGGAAAGGGACCTGGGAGTCCTGGTCGATGGCAAGTTGAATATGAGTCAGCAGTGCCCTGGCAGCCAGGAGGGCCAACTGTGTCCTGGGAGGCATCAGGCAAAGCATCACCAGCCAGTTGAGGGAGGGGATTGTCCTGTCCTGCTCTGCACTAGTGTGCAGTTTTGGGCACCACAATACTAAAAGATATTAAAGAAAGATACTTAAGCTATGAGAGAACATCCAAAGAAGGGCAATGAAGATGGTGAAGGGCCCTGAGAAGAAGCCATATGAGGAGCAGTTGAGGCCACTTGGTCTGTTCAGCCTGGAGGAGACTGAGGGGAGACCTCATTGCAGTCTAAAACTTCCTCATGAGAGGAAGAGGAGGGGCAGGCACTGATCTCTTCTCTGTGGTGACCAGTGGCAGGATGCCAGGGAATGGCCTGAAGTTGTGTCAGGGGACTTTTAGCTTGGGTATTAGAAAAAAGTTCTTCACCCAGAGGGTGGTTGGGCACTGGAACAGGCTCCCCAGGGAAGTGGTCACAGCACCAAGCCTGACAGAGTTCAAGAAGCAGCATTGGAAACAAGCAGACTGACCCAGAGTATATGTGGTGTGTGTTCCCCATTTAAATAACAGTGGTGTAAATTCATAAGCTCTTCCACTGGCATAAATTAGTGGAGTTCATTAAGAAACATGGTGTGACCAACAGATTTCAACAACTGGCCCCATTCACCTAATCAAATTCTAGCTGTCCAGAAATAAACTGTGGTATTCATTTTCCAAACTAATCATACCTCAGTCTTTGGTAAGGGTTTATCTTGGAAGCAAATGCCAATTTCAATTTGTATCTTCAATTTTAGCTACATCAATTCTGCACAGCAAAAGGAGACTAAAAGCAAACAGAAAAAAGATCCCCAATGTTCCTGCACTCTTGAGGATGAAAACTGAAAACATCATTGGTGTCCTTGACTCTTGTGATGTGAAGTTAGCTTGTGCAGCAGGAGAATAAACTATCTCTGAATTCTTGCAATGACATGAACATCTCTGTAGAAAAATGAAATTTCACAGAACCACAGAATGGATGAGATCTGCAGGGACCTCTGGAGGTCATCTGGTCAGGCAGAGCCCTCAAGCAGGCCCACCTAGAGCTGGTTGCCTGGGACCATGTCCAGATAGCTTTTCAGTATCTCCACAACCTCCCTAGGCAACCTATGCCAGTATTCAGACATCCTCACAGTGAAAAAGCATTTCCTGATATTTAGAGGGAACCTCCTGGGTTTCACTTTCTAAAGATACCTAAAGAATTAAGCATAAGGCCTTCTCTCAAGTCTATTATTGTGTCACACACAAATTTTTAAATGTGTATGGTTAAATGAAGCTTAATTAAAAATATTCACCAGATAGAAGAAGCAATGTCAACTTTCACCCCATGAAAATCACATATATATGTTATGCATTGGCAAGTACAATAAACCTGATAATCTGATAACTTGCCCACGTGGAAAATGTGGAAAATAATTGAAAAAATCATAGTAATTTATCTTTTTTCCTAGGAAAATATGCTAATGGAGCAGTGCTGTATCTCACCCTCTACCAAGACTCTGAAATAACCAAAGAAGGGCTGGAGTTTCAGAGATGGGCCTGGGAACTTCCTAAGAGTTCTGTGACAAATCTCTGTTCAAGTAAAAGAGGCATGGAGACGGGAACAAGGCTCTGATCCATCGGTGGCTGGCCTGCCAGTGTGAACATGCAGTGCTCCAAAGCAGCCACAGCACGAACTGATGGCTCCTGATGAGGGTGCTCATCCGGGAAACTGGGGGTAAGATGGGGCTACTGGAGCCACATGTGGGAAAGGGTACAAAACCAAAGGAAACACAGCTTCATCAATTCTATGCTGCTCCTGAAACAACATATATCCCCTCCACAACTGTAGAGGCTTCTCCTTAGGACTTTTGAAAAATATAACTGCCTGGAAAGGCAGTGACTTGACTGAAGACTGATGGCTGGGTTACACTGAATTCAGTTTATCCCATAAAACTAAACAGTGTGGAAAGATGGCAGCACACAGAGCATGGCATTACCTGTAGCAATACAACTGCTGTGCACAATCTGACACTCCTCTCGCAATTTTACTTGCACTTCTGCCCATTCCTTTCCCCCAGACACTTCTTTATTAAAACTGGCATTGCAGAAATTGTTCCATTTGTCCTATTTTAAGAACAGCAGCTGCTATACTATGTGCTAGAGCAATCCTCATGAAAGGGTTAGCTGTCCCATGCAAAACTGATGTCACCTGCAAGAGTCCGGGTTTGTCCATTCTTACAGTCAGCATTAGTTTGTAGCCTGCAGAATCATTAAAACTTACTAAGAAAAGTAGAACAACTTAATTTCCTCTGCAATTGCTGATGCCAAGTGAACTAAGAAGATACTCTGTCAGCCAGTTCAGCTGTGACCAGTAAGCAGCTACATTGCTTTTTGTTCATTTATAGTTTAGGTCTCTTGCAATGACCTATTTAGAAGTCCATTAGTCCAAACATTTAGAAGTTCAAATAAACAAGTGCCTATCTGCCTCAATAAACCAACTTTCAACAGATAGGTGTGTAGGGCAGGAACTGCTACTCAACATAGACAAGAAGCTAATACAGTTATTCAAAATGAGTTCTTGTGAACAGCAATTACTTGGGCTGGAAGAACAGAGCTGTTAGCCTTCAACTGTAGTGGGGAGTTGCTGAAAGGAATAAACTGCGGTGAAGATTTTTTTGCTGCCCAAAGAAAGTAGTTAAAAGAGAATAACTTTAGACTTACTGTGCCAGTGTGGCAACTGCAGAAGCTTATGCAATTTCTTTCAAAGACACTTGGAGGAGGGGAGGGAAAAAAGAATCCATAGAAATATCTTTGTACTCATCTGCTACAAAAAACACTGAACAAGAAAATAAATTAACAGAGCTGAACAAAGATGCACAGCCTTTAGCGTAGCACTTACTGGACTAATGTAGCACAAACATCAAAACAGTACAAATAAAGCTAAGCGTATATTGAAATCTCTGCAAAAGCAGCTAACTTTGTTCCTATATTTGGAGCAGAGTGGCCACAGGTACTGAAGAAGAGCTGTTAACTGAACCACAGCTCAGGGCTAACAGAGAAATAAAAACACTCAGATCCAGTTCTCAAACTCCAAGACTCCCACATGCAGAGACTCTTGAAAACGAGGAAAAAGTAGCAAGCTTTTCTCTTAGAATCTACTGCAACAAAAATTACTTCACAGGGACAGAACTAAACATCCCTTTAATGCACGTGCCCTAGCTGACAAGGGCAAGAAGAATTCCCTAGAAGTGTATAAAAAT